CTTATGATGATCTCTCTGCCAGATTAAAGGGAATGCAAGTCTTCTTTGAATTTTTTCGGTTGGATTCTTTGATCATTTACTTTTACACTTGGTATTCTCCTCACCACCCACTTGGCCTTTCTAGCTTTCCCATCTCAAAATGATAGGGATTGGGATCAGATTAGGCCGAGACGGATATAATGTGAATTTCTCTATCTTTTATTAGATATTTAGAGTCTGCAGATGGGATCCCATAGTAATTGAGGCCAAAGCAATAAGTACCATAAAAGACAAAGGGGTCATGGGATTGTTTTGATTCTTACGGCAACGTGATACTGAAAAATCCCTGTGCATTATAATGGTGCGGGCTCCAATTTATTATTCCTTAAATTTTCTGTTTTTTTTTTCAAAAAGTCATTCCTTAAATAGTTTTTCCTCATCATCCAATCATAGTTCAAGCATCAACTTTACGTTTCAAATCTATCTTCTTTCCTATTGGTTCTAAGCATAGGTAAAACTTATCTCCATGATTTATATAATTAATTTCGTTTAATTCACTTGAAAGTGAGATGATTATTTCTTAATTTCAAGAATTTATCCTCAAACTCCCATTTAAGTTTTGCATACTACTTCTGCTCCTTATATGAGAACTAGTTATTTATTTAATTTGGTCTAAATATAAAACTTTAATCCATTTTGTCTCTAATATTTACCTAATTTGCTCTCAAGTATACCTATAGTAATTACAGATGTTAAAAAATTTTTATTCAAAGGTGCCTTCAATGCACATGATGATGTTGAGTATTATAACTATTTTCTCATGCTTTACGCAATAAAAAGAAATTATTTGTTTTGTTATAGGCAATGATATCCTCCTATTAGAGACAAATGTATTCCAGACATTAAATATAAACACTTTTCAATAGATATTCAAATACTGATATTATATTTTAAAAGATTAGCCTATTTCATAGGACTCAACTCTTATTGTTAAAGGAACTACTTTTTTTTTTGGTGCTAAGGACAAGTATCCTTCTACTAAAAGCAATCATGTTCGAAACATTGTTGAATACTAAATGTGAGCATGTTATGAATTATTTTGTTTTTTATAAGCACAGGTGTTCCTCTAATTGAAGTAATCCTATTTGATGTAGAATTACTCGTTCTTTTAACATACCAATGTCTAATGTGCCTAAAGGATCACACTAATCTCTTAGGTCTTGTTGGTAGGAAGCATTGATAATAAAGGGTAGGGATTGAGATTTGGATTGAGAAAATATATTAAAAGAGTGTTTAGTGTAAAACATTACTTGTTGTAAGGGATTAGCCAACCCATGTATATAGGATTGGAAAATACCACGAGAGGAGTGGTATTCCCCCATCCCACCTCTTATAGGTTAATTTGCTTGATCCCATATAACAAGCAATTACTTATATTAAATACTATTTTAATGATTTTTTTTAAATTGTAATTCCAATCCCAATCCCTTATTTTTAATATCCCGTACCAAACAGGACCTAGGGTTTGGGCTCAGCTTGGCCCATTATGAGTTAAGCGCATCTTCGATTCAACCAAAGTTTTGGTTTGTTTATGTTGTGGCTGAAAAGTTTCGTACGTTCAAAAAAAAAAAACACACAAAGGCAAGAGCTCGCCCGCCCCTCAATTCAATGGCTTATGATGATCTTTTTTGCCAGATTAAAGAGAATGCTAGTCCTTTTTGAATTTTTCTGGTTGGATTCTTTGATTATTTACTTGATTCTCTTTCCCACCCAATCATACTTTTTTTAGCTTTCCCGTCTCAAAATGATTGGGACCAAATTGGGTTGGTCAAGATAGGTATAATGGTAAACCTCTCTACCTTTATCTCAAGGAATTTCATTTGATAGTGGTATGTGATGTATCAATGGCTAAATTGCTCATTCATCAATGTTAATCAATATGCATGACTAAATTAATTAATTAGTAATGGATTAAAAATATTAGATATTCAGAGTCTGCAGATTGGAGATCCCATAGTAATTGAGGCCAAAGCAATAAATACCCCAAAAAAAAAAAAACAAAGGGTTCGTGCGATTGTTTTGATTCACACGGCAACGTGATACTCAAAATATTCTGTGGATTATAATGGTGTGGCTCCAATTTTTATTCCTTAAATTTCTGTTTTTTTTCCAAAAAAAAGATAATTCCTTAAATAGTTTTTCCTCATCGTCCAATCATAGTTCAAACATCAACTTTACGTTTCAAATCTATCTTCTTTCTTATTGGTGTCTAAGCATAGATAAAATTATCTCCATATGATTTATATATATAATTTCGTTTAATTCACTTGAAAGTGAGATGATTATTTCTTAATTTTCAAGAATTTATCCTCAAACTCCCATTTAAGTTTTGCGTACTACTACCACTCTTTAATATAAGAGCTGGTTGAAGATTTAATTTGATTCTAAATATAAGACTTTAATCAATTTTATCTCCAATATTTACCTATCTTGCCCCCGAATAATTTATATGATGATTGCATAAGTTAAAGAGTTTTTATTCAAAGAGTGCCTTCAATGCACAAGATTGATGAAAATATTTTTTGGGAAGGCAATATTTATTATTACAAATAACAACTAACTTAACTAATTATCTTAATATTTATAAATTCATTATCTAACTATCATATTAACAATTAGTAGTATGGTGGAAATAGTTCAGATTGCCTATCAATGGCCTAGCATTGGCTTATCTAGTAAATAAATAGGTGGGGTGAGGTTAGATCCAGCCTATTTATTAATTTTTATCTAATTTTATAGTATTATTATAGTTAAAAGTTGGTTCTTAAGATAAGAGCTTGTTTGAATTTTATTTTGGTTCTAAATATAAGATCTCACCCACTTTGTCCCTCTATTTATCTATTCTTTCTTAAGGTAGTTCTTATAATAATGGTAATTTTAGTCAATATACTTGATTAATAAAAATATTTAAAAAAATACATATTTATTATAAACAATTAACTTAATTAATTTTTTTAATCTATTTAAATTAATTAACTAGTTCTTATAGTAAAGACCAGATGTGTGTAATTTTTTATATGTTTAAGAGTCTATTTTAAGTTATTTAATATTTAGAATGCAAGCTTATTCAAAAGGCTTATTTTCTTAAATGGGCCTTCAGGCCTAGTCTTTTCGTAGCTAGCCTCGTGTCCAAACGATGAAAATGGCTCAAGTTCAAGCCTCTTACTTTCCACGCAGGTCGTAAGTTTATTTGATAAAAACCTGACCACGCTTGACCCACTTCCTCTCAGTAATACTCCTCCGGTCCTTATTATGAGACCCTATTTGACTTTTTATTTGGTCCTAATTATAAGAACCCAATCCATTTTGTCTCTTATATTTATGTATTTTTTTCCAAGATAATCCTTCTAATAATGATAGTTTTAGCCAATATACTTAATTAGTAAGGATATTTTAGGAATGACAACACTTATTTATTATAAATAACCAATTTAACTTATTTCCTTAATCTCCTCAAATAAGTCAATTGGGTCTTATAATTAGGACCGGAGGAGTATTAATTATAGCATATCTATCAGTCATAATTGCTTTTAACGGGGAAAAAAACAAATGTCAACACGTGATGTGTTGAGAATTCATGAGGTAATAATTCAATATTTTATTGGTTTTATTAACCGAATTCTCTTGACGAAAGATATTAAAATAGTACAATTGGGACCAATAACGCTTGCTGCTTTGTGAAATAAATTGCTTGTTTTCTTTTGGCCGGCAAATTGCTTGTCACTTGTTACTTCCTCCTCCTGTTGAAAATATAAGAAATCCTTTTTTCTTTTGTGTGGATAAACTGGAAGGAGGAAAATATAAGAAGTCTTCTAGAGAAAAATTTTAGTCAGAGAAAATAAGAGGTTGAAAGAGTAAATGATGATACTTTGTCACTTCTACCTCTAATTAAAAGGAAGAGAGAGAGAGATAAGAAAATTTTTCAATCACATAATAAGAGTAAAATAGGTAACTTTTACTGGTTTTACATACATTTAATGACTTCATCAACATTTTTTGGTTTGTGAAAAAACTTAACTAACTTCTTATATTATAAACAAGAGTCGGCGGTTGTTATAGACTAAGGATTTGTTTGAAGCTGCTTATATTAAGTGCTTATAAGCACATTTATGTAAATTGACACAATTTTTATTACATATTTATCTCGTATTCCGTAAATTATAGTTGAAAAACTGTTTTAAAAGTTGCAACCGTTCTAAACATGCACCAACACGTATACTTATACTAAGGACTCGCAAAGGTTCACCCATGTGGATACATATCTTAGTACTGTATAGTGGCCTTCACCCCCGTAATCCTTTGTAGCAGCTGCTTTCATTGAAGCTACTGCAACATTAATTATATGTTCTAATGTTCTAATGATGTCCTGATGGAAAATGACATGAATTATATTATACCAATTACTTTTCTTGATTTTATATACTATTTTGCAAATAGTAAACATCAAGAAGGCTGCTCGTGGCAATTTTCGAGGAATAAAACTCGGTAGAAATGCAAGTCGGTGAAAACTCAAGTCCATGTTTATCTCTTTACCAATAGATAACATTAACACTGGACAATTTCTTTATTAAAAAAGCTGAACGATTCATTTCATCATTAAATCTATATATAATATGTTGAACAAATTAGTCTTAAGAGGTGTTTGGATAGAAACCAAACCATAATTTTAAAAGTAATTTTACGGTGTACGAAGCAAATATGTAGAGGAGTTTGTCTTGATTTGTGGAAAAGTATTTTTGAAAAGTACTCATGTGAGAATCTAAACACCCCTTGATCAGTCTAGTATATTTAATTGCAATTCTGCACTTCTTATCTAGCTAACTGTTGCTAATTTGGACTGCTCTGTTTCTACATTGACCTTCATTTGTTGTACGTATACAGAGAGGATCATTCACCAGTTCAACTCATACACAAGAAAGTCTCTTTTTAATTTCGTGTGTTGAAACCGGTAGAGAAAGAAGATGGAGCCTGAGATTCTTGAGCCCTCATGGTCGTACAGTGAAGGTATAACAATAAGCTCAGCTTTTGATCAAGATGAGGCTTATGACTTCAACGTGGACGCCCTTTTGTTCCCCACTTCAGAGGCTACGTCTTCTACAATCTCGTACACTGATCACGTCTATCGCCCAATTGATGAAGAACACGACCTTCAACTCCCATCACTGATTGGAAATTCCTCTATGGATCTTGTGGTTTTGATCCCACTTCGAGTTCTCAAAGTCTGGGTATTATTCGTGGATACCCACAAGAAAGTGAGGGAAGCTTTCTATCACAGAACTTGTGTTCTGAGGGAGAAGATGCATGGAGTCCAACCCCATCGATGCAATCAGACATATTTACAGTAGTACAACCACAAGCATCACTGATCATACCAGAAGAAGACATGGAGATGGAGAACCAATTGAGTCTTCCTCATCTTCTGGAAGCCACTGGAGAAGCCTTAGAGCAAGGACAGAAAACACTTGCGCAAGTGATTCTGAGATGCATCAGCCACAAAGTAAGCCCTCTTGGTGATCCTCTTGAACGTCTGGCATTCAATTGGTCCCAAAATCATGATCCTACTGAGCAAGGGAGTTCCATCAAACAGGAGGCCTGCAAGATGTTCCACCACGTTTTCAAGGCTATCTACCAAGGCCTCCCACATGGCAAAATTGCTCATTTTGCAGCCAACTCAGCAAGCATAGAATTTATACCAGAGGATTCAGAAATCATACATGTAATAGACTTCGATATGGGAGAAGGGGTTCAATGGCCGCCACTGATAGAGGCTATTGCTCATCAACAAAAGACATTGAAACTAACGTCAATCAAATGGGAAGAAGATGATAGCTTTGATACCAATTTTGCTTCAACCCAATGGAAATTTGAAGAAATCAGAAGGAAACTCTACGAGCATGCCAAATCATGTGGTTTGAATTTGAAGGTGGAGGAACTGGCGGCAGAGCTCAAAAAATGGAACGAAAGGGGCGGGCATGGAAATGGAAAGAGAAATTTCGTGGCCTTCAATTGCATGGTGGGTCTTCCACACATGGGCAGGGTCAGAAGTAGGAGCCATGTCTCGGAATTTCTGCAAGTAGCCAGGGATTTCATCAAAAGTTCAACTTCCAAGAGGGGAATTATAGCTTATGGTGATGGAGAAGCCTGCGAGAAGCCAAGAAATAGCACCAACTTCAGGACTTTCTTTAATGGCCATTTGGAGCATTACCATACTTTATTAGAATCCATAGAATCAAATTTCCCATTCCAATTCTCAGAGGCAAGAACAGCTATGGAGAGTCTGTTTGTGGCACCATATATGTCATGGGAGGGATGGTTTCAGAGGTGGAAGATGAGAATAATAAATTTATCTAAAAACACTAAATTTATCATTCAAGAAAAAATACTAAAGGAACACTAAACTTCAGAATATGGACTGAGACTATAACATCTTTTTTTTTAATGATTATTACTGATTAATTTGGCTTGATTTAAATATGAGTATACCCTATATTTAGCTGGTGAATATATTTATGTTTTTGGGTATACAGCTAAATTAACTGAGACCAACAAACCTGGAATTTTTTATTTTTTCAAATTATTTTATATAATCGTGGATATTCTATTTCAAAGTTTTTGTTTAAAATTATGCAATTTGAAAGTTTGTATTTAAAATTATTTGCCCTCAATTATTTGCTTTCCGGTTAGTTGTTGTGTGGTTTCTATTAGAATTATTTTGATTGAACTGTTTGTATTTATTACTTATTGTAGATTTTAGATTTAGAATTAATATATTTTGAATAGATATTTTAAATTTTAAATTAAAAACATATGAAAGCCATATAACTTCTCTAATCCACCCGGATTTATTTGAGTACAAGTTTTATGTCTTTCTACTGAATTTGTTAACCAATAAACCCAGAATTTCTTATTTTTTTCAAATTATTTTATATAATCGTGGGTATTCTATTGGAAAGTTTTTGTTTAAAATTATGTAATTTGAAAGTTTGTATTTGAAATTATTTACCTTCAATTTTTTGCTTTCTGGTCAGTTGTTGCGTTGTTTCTATTAGAATTATTTTGATTGAATTGTTTGTATTTATTGCTTATTATGAATTTTAGATTTAGAACTAATATATTTTGAATAGATATTTTAAATTTTAAATTAAAAACATATGAAAGCCATATAACTACTCTAATCTACTCCAATTTACTTGAATGCAAGTTTCATGTCTTTCTACTGAATTTGTTAACCAACCAATGCACTCTTAAAAATAAAATGATTTTTATTTTTATTTTTTCAAAATAACAATTTTTGTTAATGGGAGACAATTCTATTTTTTATAATTTTTTAATTAATTCAATTAATTCTGAATTATTATGGAATTTATTGCAGTTATCCCCAATAATGAGCCTTATTTTTTTCTATTTTTTTGAAAAAAATAAGAAATACCCTTTATCTGCAAATATTTTAAATTGAGAAAAATAAATAAAATTATATAACTTCTCTAATCCCGAAAATCATGGCATATACGTTGGCTATGATATGTGTTCAAAATTTGAAATTTGTATTAATTGGATAATATTATTTAAATTAATTATGCTTGAAATTTAATTTCGGTCAGTCTATTAAGGTACTGAAAATAGTATCCTATGCCTTATATCTAAACTATTGTTTTTTTTTTTGATGAGGTCTCTAAACTATTTTTTATACCTAAAATATTTATTATTTTTTGTTTATAAATTATTTTGATATCTAATTCAAATGGAAAATTATCTTACTGCTGATATTTAGAATTAAAATTTATTTTAAAATAAAATAAAATATTAATTTTTAGAAAAAGAATTGATGTCTTTTATGAATTAGCTTAATAAAAAAAAGAAATACAAACTTAAATATATTAGTTGAGATATTTTGTTTATTACAATTATGAAACTTTAAAAATAGGAATTATTCAATTTCTTAATATATTGAATAGTGCCTATTTTATATTTTATACGATATTTGTCTATTACTAATGATCTTAAATACTGAATTTCCTAATTATCATTTTGATAATCAACATATTTGCATGCTGTAGAGGTAATTGTAACACCTTACATAATTATATCCATATATCCGATAAAATATTTCATATAAAAATCTATATGTTACTAATACTTCAAACAAGTCATAATTTCAAAATATTTCTGACATAACAACAAAATAAACTATTATAGTCTTATAGTCATGACAAATAAAAATATAACATAGCATGTGCTTAAGGAGCACAAAAGCTTTCACGGCTCACTCCATTGGTTCCTTCCCTTGATTCCTACTAGATCCTTCGCTTGAAAATTGTTAATATAGGAGGTGAGATTAAACATCTCAGTAACTACTGAAATTTTAACATATACAATCAAATCATATATGATAAACCAAAAATACATTTATATGTGTGTATAGATGTATATATAAAAAATCATGGATTTGATACACTTAGCTCAATTTCATTTTTGATTCAATGATATACCAATATCATTTTTCCAATATATAAAAAATAATGCAATGTGCTACCTCCTTTATATCATCATCCACCCTTATACCGCTGACTGGAGCCATAGGCTAACACATAGTCCGATAGGAACAAATCTATTTACTAAATTATTCCAAACTCACCGATACTAGAGATATATCCGGCCAAAGATATAGAACTCAAGCTCGGACTATAGCTCCCCTCCTTTGTAAATAAAATAAGGAGCTGTTACGCATCCCACAGCTCTATTAAATTCCCGGCCAAATGAAAACATGAAAGAATATGCCCTGACAAGTGCCATCTACTGTGCACTGAGTACCGGCATACCACGTGGTAATTTGTATCAATACAAATCTCCTTGTTTTTTTTTTGATATACTGGAAAGGAACAAATCTCCTTCTATCCTTAACCCAACAATGCATATGTCAGATGCAAATAATGTTTTATCATAAATACGTCCTCAGGTATATCATTAAAAATAAGATAGTAATAAAATTTCTATATCATTTAACAGCAACTCATGATAATTGTGACGACCATTCTTTTAAAACCCATTTAGATCAAAATTTCAATTTATTCGAAAAATTAACCATGATATAAAAGAAGAAACCTTAAAATTTTAAAATCACTATCATGGTTAAAAGAAATAAACTTATATCACGAGCACGTCGATACTTAACTTAGCATATAACTAATGATCCGTTAATATTTGCAATGCAATGTAAAGATGCTCTCGGTGTTCTTCCTCATTCTTAGAGTATATCAGAATATCATCTATAAACACCACAATAAACTTGTCCAAATATGGCCTAAAGATCCAGTTCATATAGTCCATAAACACCGCTGGAGCATTCATCAAACCAAAAGGCATTACTAGAAACTCATAATGTCCGTATCTAGTGTGAAAGGCCGTCTTTGGGATGTAAGTTTCTTAACCTTAATGGATCTGCCAACACCTATAATAGGTGAAACTTTCAGAAATACATGATCATCCAATGCGATTTCTAAAGGTATCCTCCAATGCTTTGCATTACTCTTCTATCGACCTTAGGCTGTCAACAACTTCTATTTAATGAGCTCATTCTTTCTAGTTATGATGTTTACTAAATATGGGCAAATAATTATTCTTTCACTTAATTCAATCCAACAAAGGGGAAATCTACACTTTTGCTTGTATAACGCCTCGTACGATGCTATCTAAATGCTAGCATAGTAGCTATTGTCATAGGCAAATTCTGCTGACAATAGGTGATTGTCCCAACTATCCTTCAACTCAATAGCAAAAGCTCTTAACATGTCTTCGAGGGTTTAAATCATCCTGTCGTTTTGTCCATTTGTCTGACTTGGTACGTAGTACTTGTACTTTAACTTAGTATCCATGGCTCCATGTAAAAACCTCTAAAAGTTCAATGTAAATCTTAGATCTCGATTAGATATGATGGATTTCGGTATTCCATGAAGTTGAACTATTTCATCAGTGTAAAATTATGTTAACCGCTTCAAAGAGTAATTGGCTCTAAGGGTAAGAAGCATGCCGCCTTAATCAATCTGTCAACAATCACACATATTACGTTATATCCAGCTAGTGTCCTTGACAAACTAGTAATAAAATCTATAAAAATGTTATCCCACTTCTTTTGAGGAATATCTAAATTTTAGGGTAGTCCTGGAGATTTTTGGTACTTTATCTTGACTTTCTAACAAGTCAAACATTACATCACGAATTTTGTCACGTTCCTTTTCAGTTTCAGCCACCAATAGTTTCTTTTTAAATCATTATACATCTTTGTTATTCCTAGATTTATCGAATAGTTACTCTGATAAAACTTTTTTCTTTTAAAAAAAAATGGTCTTCTTAATCTCATCATCATTAAGGATGCAAGTTCTCTTCTTCTTCTTCTTTGTTTTTTCCTTTTAAAGATTCTTTTTTCTCCAATGTCATTGTCTGGCACATCCCCATTTCTTGATACGTCTTAATACTCAATAATTATTCATCTTCCATTTGTGCTACCTTCAAATCCTTAAAGAATTCATATTCGACTACAAAGTATCTGATGTCTCAGGCATCACTTACAGATCTCTCAACCCCACTGAACAATAGAACTCCTCTAACCTCATATGAAACACATACACTGTCTTCCTACTCAATGCATCAGTAACCGCAATAGCTTTACTTGAGTGACACTTTAAGTTCAAAGTCATAGTCTTTAAGGATTTTCATCTATCTATACTGTCATTGTCCAACTTTTCTAGTCTACTTGATAGTGTAGGCTTTCATTATCACTAAAGAACAGAAATTAAGTACTTCTAGGATAACATCTCCAAATCTTTAAGAAAAACACTATGAATACAAGAGCAACTCTCATATCTCATAATCCATGATAACTCCAAATATTTAACTGTCAATGCAATTTCAATTCCTGAATCACAAGATATAATAATTATTTCCTCTACTTAAATAGCCCATTAAATCCATTAGTTAACCTTAATAATAATCATTCGTGACAATCCCCAATTTACATTTAGAACTATTAACCTCAAGCATACCAAATCCCAAAATATTCAGTCAAACAAATATAAACTGATCCTTAAACCTTATTTCAAAAATATCATATTACCAATCTCCATAAAATTTTCTTTTAACCACAAACTATAACTCCAAATCATCAAAAATCTAAATCATAACAAAACTAAATTGACTAAACATTTTATATAAGCCAAGTAACTAACTTAAATCCATCAAAATTTTCATACTTCAAGACTACTCAAAATATTGAAAGATATAACTTCAAATCATTATTCGTAATATCGTTAATCCTCAATTAACCTTAATCAAGAATAATATCTCTAAATTTTCATATGAATCTAAAATTTGAAACACCACTATATGCCTTATAATTAAACAAATTAAGATACTATAGTAATTAATACACAACCTCAAGCTATTATCTTTTTTTTCCCCCTTCACAACAACACCTAAGAACTGGAAGGAAAAATACTAGGCATGATAAACTGGTAGATTCTCACTCTCCCCTTTCA